AGTTTGTGGTGTTTTAGTCAAACTTTTCTCTATGGGTTATGCGTGAAGTTATTGTCAAATCCTAAATAATTAATATTATATTTTTTTAATGTAATTAATTATTATATTTAAAAAAAAATTTATATTTTTTTCTTATTAAATTAAAATATATAATAATTAATTAAAATAAAAAATATGAAATTAATAATTAGAGGTGTGATAATTAATAACATTACCCCCGTGTTATCATTTGTAGATTTACTACTTAATTTTAATTATAAACAATTATTACATGAAATATTCTAACAAAGATCAAGGGGATTTTACATGCAGATGCTACGAGATGTTGTCTCCTAGCAGATATACCATTGTGGCAGGAGTGTAACCAACATCTTTTCCCTCTCTATAACGTACGGACCGGTTTGGGTTAGAGGGCTGGGAATTGATTGTTTGGAAGAGAAATGGAAAAAGTGTGGTAAGCAAACGGATGTTAATCGGGTTTGTGTATCTTTTGTAATTGTAAACAATGAAGTATTTTCTATTGTTGATAAAAACAAAGGTTGGATAGATATCTTTCCAGCACATTAGCCCAGTAACCCAAGGAGAGAGCAATATCAAACTAAGGAGCAACTTTGTTTATGACACAAATGTTAGTGCAAGAGCTGCTACATCAAAGGGATTGACAATAATTCCACTACAAGAAAACTAGGAAAAGGCAGTGTTTTTATCGCTAAAAGGCAGCCCTTAGAGTTTTTTCTTGTGGAATTCCTTTAAAATTTGGATGTATCGTTGAGGCTCAGCTTCTTCACCAATTAACCCTTACTCCTCCGTTGGAGAGAAGAAGTACTTTGTAATCCGTATACCGTATGTATGTACGTTAAGGAGACTTGCAGTAGATGTTATTTGGCTTCCCTACTTAGAACCAGCCTGAAATACAAGTCCTAGTATAATATTTTAAAAAGAAAATTATTAATATACCTTCCAATTCAATATGTACACCTAATAATATTCTTAGATTCAATTATTAAATTTTACGTTTAAAAATTTTTTCACTTTAAATTTAAATTTAAAAATATTAGTTTTTTAATGATTGAACCGGAAAAAATTGTTGTTAAATGTATTAAATCGAAAGATGTATTAATTATTGTCCATTTTGAAATTGTCATCATAGAGGATGTCTCAAAAAATAACCGTTGCTTCGGTAGATATATTACTGATGTAACAAAGGTCTTTATTTGGGAGAAAAATTTCTTGCTTGCTTATTCTCATGAGAATAACAATTCCTCTTTGCCTTTAATAAATTTGCAGTGACTACATGAATAACATACATCCCGAATGAGTTAGAATTCTCAAAAAGACCATCTGAATCTATCAGCAACTCCGTCAACGCAATGATATATTATTGCAACAAAATTCTTATAAGCACAAAAATCCTGTAAATTGTGAACAGAAAAGTGGATCCCGCACTTCTTCGATGGCTAGAAGAAGCACAATCTGTTCTATATATATGCAGACCGTAAAATAAATAAGCTGAATCTAGAAGCAATCACCACTCGCGGCTCGCCATTCATCATATAGCCCTCGGTCGTTTATTCTCTATTTCGAGCCACTACTTTACCTATCCTGCCATCCTCAGTGCTTTCATTGGCCACTCCTCCCCCACCAAAAAATCTGGCAGAGAAAAGCCTGTGCCTTTGTCCATATTTAATTGTCAACTTTCTTTTACCCCATGTTAAATGCCTTTAATGAATATTTTATTACAAATAGAAAGGCCTACACTTTATTCTTTTGATATATAAAAGGATTAGCTACTCATCAGTATAGATATCTAAACTTTTAACTTAATTTAACCTTCATTAAAATTTTTTAAATTGGTGGATATACTACTACAGTTATTTAATCTTATTCAAACTATAATCTGACATGTACCAGTCCAAAAAGTAATATATGCTATCAGAATTCAATCTTATTCACACCATATATATATGGTATCATGAGCTATTGGATATTCTTAGATGACTTTTTTATAACTTTTAAAAACTAATATGCCAACTACCTAAGTAGTTTGGTAGTCATCTTTTTCTGTAGGAAGTAAGAGATTCTGAGTTCGAGTCACATGGCATGCAAATGGAGTGGGATAAGAAATATGAGATGGTTGTCTCTCGTTGTGCAACCAATATTAAAAAAAAAAACCAATATAACTATTAATTTTATCTCAAAATCCTAAGGAACGGCAAATGTTACCTTGCTGAAATGTGGCCCCACCATTGATGATTTGGACCTAATTTATGAAACAACATTTATTTATTTGTAAATTTAATTTTTGAATTTATCTTTTTAATTTATGTCAAAAGTGTTGTGCAGTTTAGACTGTATAACACTTATTATTGGATAGAGGTAAATCCCTTAATATTGGGGTTCTCCTCCATCCAATGACCTCTATTTTGTAATTTGATATAATCCAAACTATAAAAATGTTGATGTCCAAATTATACAATACTTATTATAGGATAAGGGTGAACTCCTTAGAGGCCCTTTCCTCATCTAATATGACTCTTCTATATTTTGTAGTTTATTGCAGTTTGAATTATAAAATAGAGGATTCCTAATTTCTTTATTCTCTAAAAAAAATAAAAAGCATAACAATAATAGTGATTAAATAAATAAATAACAAAATAATGTCATGAAACTCATGTGTCTCATAATAAATGCAAACAAAAAAAAGTTGCCATTTTAAGACTTTGTGGAGCACAGAAATTAACTCCAAAACAAGAAAAACGTTGCTTTCAACAAAACAACAAACAATCCTCTGAGAAAAATCAGCTGCGCCTGCAGTTCTACCCAAACCCAAAGACAGCTCTCCTCTTAATTATAAATAGAGGAACTACTAGGACCGAATCTTCATATTCAATTATTTGTTTTTAAATTTTAAGTGTTTGAGTGTAATTAGTCGAAAATTTAATACTCACCAATAATTTCACAAAAAGAAAAATCCCTCTTCCCCAAGTTCCGCATGTTAAGAAAAAATAGAGTGGACTGCTGGCAGCCCCTTTCACTTAAAAGCTTGTTTGGCTCTAGAAAATCGACTTTCATTTTCATAAGATATTAATAAGAGATGGGTGAAAATCAAGATATTATCAAGTTCTCAAACAAGAAACAGATCAAATTCAACAATTTTCTTCCCAAAGTTCGACAGATCAGTAATCTACCAATGCAATGGTAAGCTCTCTCTTTTAATATTTACAAATCAGTGTGCTTGAAACTTTCATATTACTAATTTCATTTTGAAATAGAGGGAGTATTAATGAATTACTTCTAAGAGTTATATGTTGCCATGTGTTAATGATTAATTGATTTTTTTTTTGTTATGTTAAAAGTTGACTCATGTTTAATTAATTAAGATTTAATTGAGAATTCTACTATTTTGACTTAAATAATTTAATTGTAATTTCTACTTAATAAAAGTAAAAAATTTTAAATTTATATTTATATTATGTAGGTGAC